AAGCTACCTGAAATCACGCTCCACGGAGCAACCTTCTCAAGTGTGTGACGGTGTGTATTGAAATTGGGAGACTCCATGGCCCAAACATGCCCAAAGGGTAAACAAAGCATAATCAAAGGTCTATGTTCATCTATTTTCCTCTTGAAAAGGGGGTCGTTGCCTGGGAGGTCTCCCCATAGGAGCAAAGCGAAGGATGCAAGCCACAAGAGCCCAAGGAAGAGAGGCGCCTGCGGCCTCTCCACTCCTGCTGCTTGGACGCACCGTGCAAAAGGTATCCTCTTTGACTCCATTGTGACACCTGAGCCGGACGATCCACCGACAAACAAACATGCTCATGCAGAAACATGGCAAGCCACATGGCTGTTCTCGTCCAAGGACTACTGCTATACAATGCTGCTAATGACAGGCTGTTGTTTGCCATGATCGATGGACTGTGGTCACGACCTGGCACTGAAAGGAAGTACAAAGTGCTGTGCAAAACCCAAGTTCAAAATCCTGGCACTAAATCCTGGGTCCTACAGTAGGACTTCCCCCTCAGTCTAGAATCTAGAATAGTAGTGAAAGCTGTTCAATCCGAATCCTCCAAAGAGCCTCAAGGTGATTTCATTCGCAGGTTCAATTCCAAGCAGATTGAAGCCCAAACATGCAGCTCCCCACCCCCAAAGCTCAGGCGCCCATCGTTCAACTTGGAAAAATCCGGGAAGCTTGTGAAGGCCTGTGTATGCTCCTTGCGCCGTTCGAACCCATGCCTGAAACTCTGGAGTATAGCATCACTTCTACAGTAGAGTCCCGGCAGGCAAAAGAAGGGTTTCACGACAAAAACGCCTTAAGTCTTCGTCTCGACTGCATGGCACCAAGTTGTAACATGTTACAACATGGCGTTCTTCTCTTGTGCCTGCTTCTCCTTGGCCTTCGCTGATACCGCCCGCTCTCGAGAAGGTCGCATGGCTGGAGGGAAAGATGCCAGACTTTCAGCGGGACAATATGGTTCTGAGTGCTGCATGAAATCAGTGTCGTCAAACTAAAAACACTTTGTTAGAGGTGGACTCGGGAACACCTCTTGCACCATCCAGAGACACCGAATGATGCAAGATCAAGCTTTGGATCTGAAGCGGGCGGGCATTTGCACAGCACGATGTCAACGGTCTGCTGGGAGAGTCGAAAAACAACCCCACAAAGCGCTGTTGATTCGAGCAAAGAACTTGTCACCGTGGAGAGGTATTCCAACGGTGGAGGCGGGTTGCCACGGATTCCCCCTGAAGCTTGTTTGATACTAGTAGAGCCCAAGCGCCTTGCGAAGCTACAAGAGGCTCTGGGTTTCCAAGCATAGCCCAACGCAGCGAGGCACATGAGCATGGCCTCGGATTGCAACAAAACAATATCCTTTATAAAAGTTGATTTACTTCGAGCGATCCCCACCATGGCACTCAATCATTTGATTTCATGCCATGGTGAGGTGCATGTTGCCATGGTCGTGAGCTTTGTGGTTTTCGATTTTGCTTGTGGGGGTTTGGGATTGCTATCTTAGTGTTAGGGAGTTCGCGTTGGGGTGTCGCCAGGGTCTCCAGTTGGCATCCAAAAGTGCTACCCTGTGACCACCGGCCACGCAAAATGTCACACGCACACAGGTAATCATAGAATCATACATATATATTGTTGTCGTTGTGTGTTGGTTGTGTTTGAGCGTTGTGGCTGTGTGTGTTTGTGATTGTGTTTGTCGCTTGTGATTGTGGCTGTGTGCTTGTGATTGTGTTTGTAGTTGTGTTTGTGATCGTGGCTGTGGTTGCGTTTGTGATTGAGTTCGTGGTTCGTCTGTTTGTGCTTGTGTATTGTGGCTGTGCTTCGTTGGTTGTGTACTCTGTTTTTTGTGTGTGTGTGTTGTGGTTATGTTGTGCGGCTGCGTGTTGTGTGTTGAGATCCCGTACTGCCCACTGCGATCTGGCGCTCGCAATGTCCGGCAGCACCCACTGCGATGGGGAGCTGGCATTTGAGGTCCGGCGGGGAACACTGCCACGCGGCCCTCGAGGTTGAGGTCTGGCGGGGAACACTGCCAAGCGGAACTCGCGGTTGAGGTCCGGCGGGAACACTGCCATCCTGCAGTTGCGGTTGAGGTCCGGCGGGGGACACTGCCATCCGGAGCTGGCGGTTGAGGACGACGCGGAGGAGGATAAAATCTAACAACCCTCACCTGACAGGTAGGGAAAAAGAGTCCTCCACCCGAAAAAGTCTACGATTCGTCGCCGGTACCAAACCCTTCCAGGGCTAGACTTGATCCGGTAATCTGCTCTTTCAGAGCGCACAAGATCTTGCACCTGCACGGCCAACTTTTGTGCAAGGAACTCAGTTGAGTCAAGTTCTCCAGCAGTTGTCATTTTTAATTCAATCATGTACGATGTACAGCAAACAAGAAAGGATCTGAGTCGGGCAAAAGGGCAATGGGGTTCTCTGTATTTCAAAAGGTCCTGAGTAGCAGGAGGCACGGACGATGATGTTTCGGCATGAGCTGCAGCCCATGGTTCCGTTGCAACCTTGTGCTCCTGCTTCAACATGAACGAAAGCAGCACAGTTTTCTGCAGGCCGAGTGGCAAAGCGGCCTCCAGCAAACTGTGCCTGGATGCCCATCACATGACGATCTGCAAGTGTGTGAGAAACCCTCGAGAAGTGTGATGTGAAACAACATGACCCCTTTCTTGCAAAGTGATATCAAAACCTCTCAGACACAGCTCCTTCCCTTGTGGCCCCCAGAGCACCTCTTCGTTGCAAATATGCTCCTGGCTAGGCAGAAGCATCAGTTAGCACGCTGGCAAGGCTCAAAGAAGCAAGCAAACTACAAGGTCTTTGGCATAGGTACTTGGTGTCTGAAAGTCCAAAAATGTCTGACGCCTCGTCCAGCCCGCCATCGGCACCACGGCAGTAGTAGGGCTCCGGAAGTGGTGTCCAGGAAAGGATCTGGGCAGCACCCCATCATCAGTCATCGAATGTCATCATTCAACAAACTTGGGAAATCCCCAGCAAAATGTCCATCCTTCAGTCGGTGAATGCTTGATTACTGACCTCCATCCAGTTGGAAGTAATTGAACCTTGTGCAATATGAAGAATTCTGTGTTGGTACTGATGGTCTACCAGACAGTCCAATCTAGAACCACGGGCCGTAGGAAGATCCCAACCCTGCAGGCAACCAGCAGCTTGAAGCGGAAAATTATGAAACTCGCATTTTCCATGAGATGTTGACCCATTCCGCCAGGTGGCAACTAGCACTGCAAAGCAAATAGACCAGCCTTGAAAACAACTGGAGTTTAGGCAAATCATGTGAGAGATGAACTGGTCAAGGATCCATCTCAGAAGACTTCGGACATCACAGCAATGGGCACAGCGGGCTACAGGATGCTACAGGTCAAGCACCATACAAACTCATCTTGATGCGCGGCTGCAGAACTCTTCTTGTCCAGGTTTTGAGACAATACAAATACGGTGATGTCCTAAGCAGCTACCCTGATGCCTGTGGGAAGGAAGTGTTTCAAGAGACAGTGAGCACCTTCGAAGCGCTGCAAACCCCGATGTTCTATATTCTTCCCATATCTGCTTGGTTGACAAACAGAACACCAAAAACACAAGCAAAAAACACCAAGCCAAAAACCGTCGTGTGGCCTATGACCATGTACGGCTTCCGTCTGTAGCCTCGAATCCTGAGCTCCGGAGTCGGCGAGGCCGAATCGTTTTTGGGACTGTTGAAAACACAGATTCGTCATGCACAAAGACGGTCATGTAAAATTAGATGGTCTTCGTGCCGGTCAAAGCATGGTGAAACATCCTCGGCTCAAAAACCAAGTGGCGGCAGGCAATCATTCAGCAAGCCTGAGGTTTGGTGAGACGGCGCCAAAATATCTAGGAACCAAATCATTAGTGCGAGCGCTTCTGCAAATAGCTCTCCCCCGCCGCTTCCTTGAAGAAGGGCGAGCTATCCTGCGTCCTAGCTAGGAGCTTCCTATTGCTAGTAGCTTACGTCTCTCTTGCTTAATTAAGTACGCGCTATTTAAAAAGTGAAATAATTGGTCGGCCATCAAGTCTTTGAGTTTGAGTCACTCCAAGAATGGAACCCAGTCGGTGAAAAACAGTCGATCGGCACAAATCGCTGTTTGGATCTTTTTGGCACCTACAGTTACAATTGGTCTCCCACAGGGGGCTACCGACTACAGCGGCTACAGTGCTTGATAACCATGCACATGTGGGCTATTGCACGTGAGCAATTTGGAAATTGATCTCTGTGTGCGTGCGTGTGGCAACAAGTGCTCGCCAGCTACTCATGAACCAAACTTATCCTAGTATGACCAAGCCCTCGACTTTTCTTTGCAGCTCTTCAGCATATGCCCTCAACGGGTGCCACATGGCTGCTCCTCCAAAACACCCGGCTGCGGTGAAAAACCAAGGTGCCAAAGAGCACCTTGAAGCTCCATGGCATGGTGGTGACCACCTCGGGTTACAGGTCACACTCGCTTCGCCGCTTCCACGAAGCGAAAAATGGCCAGCCTGAACGGACCTTAATATCCCAACTCCTTGGAGCAAAACAGACAGCCTTCTTGACAGAAAGGCTTTTCTGCTCAACAAAGCTGTGTGTTTGGGTGCGGTCGGCATTTCAGGTGTCCACCGTCTTGTAGGACGCTGAGATCTGGACCGATGCTGTTGCATAAATGTAGCCGGGCACGTTTAAGTAACCTGGCTGGGATCTTCGTTGTCAGGTTTCAATTCAGCCCACTTGAAAGCCTCTGATGAAGAAAGGAGTCCATCATGGGAAGTTCTTTGGCAATTGCCAAGCTTCTCTAAATGTAGTTGCAACTTGGTGAGTGCCCAACGGTAGCAGATTCTTGATGCCATGTTCTTGTAGTGAGCTGCAGAGTTTGCCTTTAGGGAGCCGATAGGTTCCAGAAGGGTGCCAGACCATAGGAACGTGCCTCTTGTTTCAAAGGAAAACAAATATTCGAAGAGCCCGTAAAGTCCATTTTTGTGTCCAGCGTATGGATGAATCAAGCCGCCCTGAATGGTGTCGTCTCTAAGTTCATGAGAGCGTGGGAGCCAGTCAAATGGCGAAACATCTCTAAAGTATTTGCCTTCAATTTGCTTAGTACCGTCTGCATTGTGGTTAGATCTACAAGCAATATCAAGCAATTAGAACTCTAGGTTTGTACGGGCCCCGTGAAAACGCTTGTGGGGCACCCAAACGCAAGAATGGTTTGGTAGCTCTTCTCACAAAAATTGGTAGCTCTTCTCAAAGTGCTTTGCTCCATGACATGGGAGCCATTATGCCATGTTTGTTGTGCTCTTGCGTGAGTGCCTAAAAAGAAGCCATAGATAGTCGCAGGCAAACCGCCATAAATCAGCCCAACGGCGAAGTACCTGCTCTGTCCGAGACCCTCGGAAAGGCTTGTGTCTGATCAGAATAAAGCACAAGTTACAGTATTAGTATGATAGCTCCTGTGGAAATGCGTAGGTTGTTTACGTTGAGGATGAAATATTCTCAAAGGAACCCATACATGATCCCTCAAGCACAATGGGCAAACGCTTCCTTCAACTAAGTCAGCCAAAAAGGCAAAGTTCGCACCGTTGTTTACCACCATACCACAAAGCGCATCCGCAAAGCGCATGGACCCTTTGATCTACATAAGTCTCCCAAATCTCTGAGGACACCAAAGTACTGGCATTTCATAGCTTCCAGTGGGGCACTGCATAAGAAAGCCAATGTTCCGGAAGGCATAAATGTCCACCTGGCTCACCACAGAGCCCAGCAGGTCACTAGGAAGGAACAAGCATCCCTAAAGAGCCAAAAGCAAATTATACCTGCAGCTGCACCGAGAGGCTACATCTACAACCAGTCAATCCCAGTTGTGTAGAATAGCATCTCTTTTGAATTCTCCGGACATACTGAGTTTGGGAGCCCAAAACAATGCTGTGTCGTGAGCCTGCTGCCAGGATGTTCTGATTGAGACAAGT